ACACAGCTGGCCAATCAGAGGCTTGTATGTGTCCTGGAGGCGTGTCACCTGGGCGGAGCCAAAACTGAACTGATCCTGAGCCGAGCCTTTCACCTGACAGTCTGACACACGCACACGCACACACACACACGAAAAGAAATGAACCCTGTTGCCCAATGGGAAATTGATTTTTAGAATGTTTAAATTATTTTTTATGACAGTTTTGCTCGCAGTTTTGAAAAGATCAGGATAAATATTAATGCACTTTAATGAGGTTGGGAGTTGTAGTTTTTCCTCTCTATAGTTGTAGTACATTAAATACCCACAAAGTAAAAATGTTTAATTTGTAGTCGTTTGCTACATTTTCGTTGCAAAATATCAACTTACAACCTTCAAATTATTGTTTTATTAATTAAAACATATACCAGCAAATATATAACATACATGTAAATAAATACTTTTGTGAAGAGAAATATGAAAGTACAGGTAAACCAGCGGGTTTAAAAGCAAAAATGTAACTTGGTCTTCTGATAAAAAGAAACACAGCTTTTGATATTCTGTTAGTAACAAAGTGAAAACATGTTGATGAATGATAGAAGTGTGTTGCTTTTTTAAATAATTTTCTAGACTTCTATTGGATGAAGGAGGAAGCTCAGTATTTCTTAAAGTCGGGTCCGAGCTGCTTTTTATATTTTAAATTCTGTTTTTAACCTTCAGCGCCTTCTGTGTTTTTATTTCTGCTACAGTTGAATAAATTCAGTTCTTGGTATTGTATGTTGGTTGTTTTTAAGCTTCCCATTGATCCTTTCTTGTTTGTGGCCGCAGGATGGTGTGTAAATTTTCCTGCATATTTTGTGTGTTGATGTCAATGAAGCGGAGTGTGAGTCCCCAAAACAGTGGCTTACTCACATGTTTATTTTTTTTAAATACTCGTGTTAATAGAAAATAAGCTGTGGACGCAAAATGTTGGGCTTTAAAAACTTACATTTTGCCAACCTCTGGTTCCTCTCCAGCCACGCCCTCTCTACTATATGGTCACTTACTGCTCCAAAAAAAAAAAGATGGTGGACAAACACCGTAAATTACAAACTTGACGCTGCATAAAGGCAGTGGACAAACCAATGGGAGACTTCACAGGGGTTATGTTCTTTATTTATTTAGCATAAAAATAAGTACAACTCTTTTGGGGATTCAATGCAGTATGACGAAACAACAAGTCTCCAACCTACCAAGTCCCGACTCAGCGAGTATCAGCCTGACATGTACAGATCAAATTATTTAAAAGACATATTTTAACAGTAGAACTAAGCAGTTTTGTGGGGGAGCCTGTGTTCTGTGGGTGTGGGGTCTTTGCTCTTTAGCTCCTGATGCTGTGCCTCTGGCAGATGTAGCGCATCCTGGAGGAGCAGTGGATGTCGTTGAGGCGCCCGTCGTTGTGCAGGTGCGCACAGTCTTCATCTCCAGGGCCGAGGCCATGATTGGTCCAGCTGTCAGGCTGACCGGGCATCCAGCGCCTGAAAACCACAACATAAGTAAAAAAACGTTTGTAATTTAGCAACAATAATCTTTGGTGAGAAGCGCACATCTCTGTGCGGATGTCAGGAGATATTTTTCATCACAGCATGAGAGCAGACATTGTGCACTCATCACAGGATGAGGATGTTTTTTCACCAAACTGACGTAAATAGAACATTCTCAAGCAAAATGTAGTCAAATTCCCTCAGAGCTTTGCTGAAAATGAGACGGGTGTGACATCACAAAGACCTTTACTTTTGATCTTAGACGAACAAAATCTAAACAATAAGTTATTGAGTTGATGTGGACATCCGTGTCAAATGGGAAGATGTTCTCTCAAGATAATGTGTTCACAAGAATAGGATGGAAACCCCTAAAAGCTAGCACAGATAACAGGAGAGAATATAGCAACCCACCTTCGGTTCATGACGTACGGCGTCTGGTTGACCCACTCCCACCTCCCAGTTTTCTCATCCGTCAGACCGACCCAGTAGAAAGCCCCACGGGTTTGTTGCGCCACATAGTCCTGAAGCAGAGGAACAGACGCACAGATGAAGTTTTACCCTCCGTTGAAATTTGTTTCAAATTACTCTTTAAATGTGCAGTTTAGGTGCCCCACAGGGATCCATTCTGGGTCCTCTGCTGTTGACATTTTACATTATAAGACTTCTCTAAAGACAGACGGAGGGACAGGCTGTCTCACCCACTCTTCGTCCGAGTTGAGTATAACCAGGTGAGACTCGTGTCCGTTGCACCAGTCTCTGGCATTGTGCCACGCCAAAGGTGTCTTACTAAACAAGTAACAGCTGGTCTGAAAAAGTTCCCAATTTAGAGGACAGCATCCGACTGCGGTTGAACCTGAAAGACGGGCGAAGAGACAGAGAGACGGACAGGTCAGCAAGCAAAGAGACTCACAATTACATGACAAAGCTCTGAGGTTTTACAGTATGACGAGCATACAGGACTTACCGTTATTGATGAGGCGCTCGAGGGAACATTTAAGACCAGCAACGGTCTTACTGAGGGATTCCAGAGCTGCCAGCTGCCTCAATGCCTCTTCCACTAAAAACCACACACACATGATCTGGGTAAAAAAGAAGTAGTTCTAATACAAACGTTCATGGTAATGTAACCCTAACCCTAAATTGAGTAACCGTAGCCTTCGTTTACAATTCATGCAAGTAGCTCAGATTTTGTTAAACTTTGCTGAGGGAAGAGAGGAACATTCATAAGAAAAGAGAGATACTTCGGTTATTTAAACACTGACAGGGCCTGATGAAAAAAAAGGATTGTGCTGCATATACACCCTCTAACCCTTTGCAAATGAGACAAAAATAGACCACCTTATTCATGATGCGTACTGTAAGAGGAAATACCCCCCTAGTAGCATTCAGTGTCTTTGTGCGGCGTTGCTGTTTGACATATTTTGAGCAATTTATATTTAGCCTCCAAGTGTAGTCCTGCAGTACCTCTGTTTACCGATGGATGGCGCCTGTAACACAAAAGCTGCTGGAAACACTGCTTCTTGTTTTAGGTACCAGTCAAACCCTCAGAAGTTACCAGGGAAACATAAATCTGGCTTGCAAATAAAACTTAAAAAATGTAATATATTTTGTTAAGTTTGTAGTCTGACATGATGTTGTTTGTGTAAAATGTCCAGAGACTGCAGCTCAGGGTCTTAACTGTTGATTTAATGTTTTAATTGAGCAGGCCACAGAGGAACAGTCGGACTCACCCGAGGTCAGCTGGTCCTTGTTGCTCTCCACGGCAAATCTCATGCGGAGAACTTCTTTAGCTGCATCTGCATGGACAGAGAGCGGAGAATTCTGGATGGATTCACTTAAAGAGTCAGTATTCAGGCTGCGGGAACATGGACAGGTGTGTTACCTCTGGTGAGCTGCTGCGCCACGCTCAGGGATTCAGTCACATTAGAAACTCTGTTCTCCACAGACCACAGCCTGTTTGATGTCCTTGTGTCTGCAGACAGACAGACAGGTAGACACAGACTCTCTAAACAAACAAACACAGATTTGTTGGCAATGTTGTGTCCTGAAACATCTCTTCATATTGGGTGTCAAGGAGTTCTTCTTTTGTTGTCATGGTATCAAAACAGGTATCAGTATTGTTTGAATTTTACCCGTATCGTTTTCAAGTTTAAAATTCAGGTATTGTGACAACTCTAATGTGAACACAAACTGACTTTTAGCGTACTTTTCCCATAAAAGGTAATTGTGAAGTAGGGGTAAGTGGATGTTTGAACGCAGGAAGTGGTCTGGAACGTTCATCTGAGTGAGTGGGCGGGGCCTCGCTGTAAGGTGCATGTGTGAAAGGACATTTCCAGAAAACATCAGGCTTTTAATCTGATGTGCTGTAATGTTGAATAAGTGTCTGGATTGCAAATTGGCTTCAGGTTGATTTACTATGTTCTAACACTTAACATGTTAGCATGCTAACTTTAGCTCATTAGCATTGCACTTTAGCAAACACTGTTAACAATTAGACTTAAACTTAGAAATGTAAAATCATACCACTTACATCTGGCCCGATTAAAGTTAAAGAAAACAAAGTTGTTAGTTTGAAGTCGTTCAAGGTTTATATGCAGGAAGAACCTCCAGAAAAACTGTGGAAACTAACTATGGGCTCCGCAGTGTCTCAAAAACATGAACGTGTGTGTGTGTGTGTGTGCGCGCTCACTAGTAGCTCCCAGCGCTATGATCAGAATCATGATGACTGTAGCGGTCACAGCTGGAAACAACCAGCGCCTGAACCTGGAGACTCCTGAGAAATAGACGGGACGAGGCTCTGACAGACAGACAGACAGACAGACAGACAGACAGACAGACAGACAGACAGGAAATGATTTATCAACAATATGGGCTACATTTATGAACGCACAGTTCTGTAGAATCTCACAGACGGAGAGGCGAGTACCTTTGTTCCAGAAGGAGTTACTGTCATCTTCAGCCTCGTCGTGATACTCAGTCGTCATGGTAATGTCTTTCTTCTCCTTCAACAGTCGCTGTGTTCGTCCTCTTCGTCTCCACGATGAAGTCTGACAAACAGTCTGATGTCCAAACAAGAGCCGGGGTCAATGCCCACCAAGACACACTTTGAACTCTGTGTGTGTGTGTGTGTGTGTGTGTGTGTGTGTGTGTGTGTGTGTGTGTGTGTACGGTAATCTGGTGTCACTCTGTTGGTATAGACTTGATTATTCCAGTAAAATAGCGTTCTAACTCACACACGTTCATGTGTTTAGAAACACAGCTGAAGTGAACTCATCCTCACAGAATGAGATGTGTTTCTTCAGTTCTTTAGAAGTGTGATCATGTGATCGTATGACAGAAAGTCAGAAGAAGAAACACTGAAAAAAATTCCAGTTGCATCAAAACCTGTAGCTTTGAAAGTTGAATAAAAACACTTAAGTTTCAGTTGGACGTCAAAGCGTCTGTTTAAGGGAAAAAAACCTGAATGAAAATATCTGCACCTGGAGACGAGGAACCTTAGGAGGAACACAGTGCGTTTCCACTGCAGGGATCAGGGTCTGAATTCAGTTCTGGGGACTTTTGACCCCCCAAAAGTCCCCAGGTGATGTAGAACATTTCTACTTGAAAGACTTTATATTTTTAGAGTCTGTTTGTGTTTCCTCTGAAACAACAAATTCTCAACCTTTTTAAATCAGGGAGCCACAATAGATTGCAGAACAACTTTATTAATCTCCACACTTACTTATGTTGCAGAACAGAAATAATTATGCATGCATGATGCAATTTTTTTTCTCCTACATTGCACCTTTTGTACATTTTGTGTTTTTTATATTTTATATTTTACATTTTACATTTTAAAATTCTATTTTTTATATTGTAATATCTTCTTATTCTGTATTATTTAAGTTGTTTCTAGTTCTGCTTTATTTCCTTGTTAATTGTTTAGCACCAATACACAAAGTCAAATTCCTTGATGTGTAAATGTACTTGGCAATAAACCCAGATTCTGATTCTGATTCTGATCCTGATTCTGATGTAGGATGTAGCTGAAGGATTATTTCAGGTATCTACAAGACAGAGTTGAAAGAACTTTCTCTTTCTTGGATATAATTCCTGGATGAAAGACTTAAGCGTTTTTCAGCGTTTATTTATTTTTCATTCATTCAGATTACAGTGAAATCAGATTTCTTTTTAAATTTATTATTCTTGTCTTTCACTTCTCGTGACGTTTTGTTTCTACTTTGATAACTTTCCCTTCCGACAGTTCAGAACTGTTTGTTAAACTTTACAGCAGTGGTGCTCGATGGGGACGGGGGTTCTGGCGCTTTATCCCCTCGTGCTGTGTTTCTGGCAGACAAAGCGCATCTTGGTGGAGCAGTACTGGTCGTTGAGGCGTCCATCGTTGTGCATGTGAGCACAGTCTTCACCTCCGGGACCTAAACCATGACCGAACCAGTTGTCAGGCTGACCCGGCATCCAGCGCCTGGAACCCACAAAACCAACACATTAATAATGTCCTGAGTCCACTTAAAGTGATTTATATGTGTTGGCAGCGCCGACAAACAACGCTTACTGTTATAGGTTACTAAAGTTGTCTTGAGAAACTTCTGCTCCCCTCAGTAGTGACTGTTAGGTCTGTTTAAACTGCTCTGTAGTCTTAATATTTGGTATTATTCGAGCACATTTTACAAATAAAACAAACAATTGAAGGGAATCGTGTCCTGGCATTAGCAGCAACTTCAAAACTGAAAATTGACTTGATAAAACAAGTCAGGGTGCACAGGCCCTTAGCTTACAGCTTTAGCTCCATTACTCCTTTAAAATGATCTTCTGTCCTTGTCCCAGTATACAAGCATCGGGAGAGAATCCAATTCCTAGTATTAATCTATTATTGTATTTTTTCTCCCTTTATTTAACTGATGTACATATGTTTGATTTTTAACTTCTTGTTATTTTTGATAATTATATTCCTGTTTCTTGAGCTGTTGTGACAAAATAAATGTCCCCCATGGGGGCTCAATAAAGTTTATCTTTATCTCTTATCTTTAGCTTTACAGACATAGTATGTCTGACTCCTCTACAGCAGGCGACCCTTTCAGACAGTTACTATTGGACCTTCACCCTGTTGACCTATTACGTCACAGAACTGTACCTGTGCTCTATGGTGTACGGTGTGCGGTTAATCCACTCCCAGCGACCAGTCCTCCAGTCCGACAGCCCGACCCAGAACCAGCGGGAGGCTGCATGACGCGTCACAAAGTCCTGAACAGACACACACACACACACACCCCAAACACAGAAAGAAATCATCCAAAACTCAAAGACTGATCTGTGTTTGTTCCAGAAAAACTCTCTGAATTTTTCTTTCATATTGGAAAAAAAAAATGTCTCAACAACAAATTCAACTGTGAGAGTGGTTTTTGGTTTCCACTCACCCACGCCTTGTCACTGTGCAGGATGAGCAGGTGAGCTTCTTTTTTTTCACACCACAGTCTGGACTCGTTCCAGGACAGAGACACAGTGCTGAAGTAATAACAGTTATAGTCGAACTGATCCCAATGTGGAGGACAACAAGCAGCGATGCCAGACCCTGAGAGACAGGCAGGGACCCAGGTGTCAGTATCTCTCTGCCCATATATGTACTGTAAATGTACGACCGTGTGTGTTTGTGCGAACTGACCGTTGTTGACGATGCGTTCAAGGGAACATTTGAGCGATGCGACACTCCTGCTGAGATAATCCACCACCGACAGCTGCTTCAACGCCTCGGACACTAAACAAAGACACACACAAACACACTGAATTGGTCGTCGTTGTCTGGGAAAAGTGGGACTGACTACACAGGTTTTTTTCCTTCTCTAAATGATCGCTGTCATATAAAGGAAAAGGCCAAAAAAATTAGTATGATTTTTAACTCTCTCCTAACAGTTAACATTAAAGAAAAACCGTTAAATTCCTTTTAGATGCTTGATGTTAATTGAAATGTCAAAAGGTGCATTTGATAAAAAGTTGAATTCCAATCCTTTCAATTCAATCCTTTAAAATGTGTTTGATAAAAGAAGAATTGAAGGAGAACATTTTGACACTTAATTTGAATTATTTTCATGGCTCATTAGTGTCATGGCGCGGTGGTTATAGTAATATCTCAGGGTTGACTGAGGCTTTATTGTTATTAGCATTAGCAGTACAGTTTAAAGAGCACACTGAGTCATCTGTCTTAATTAGTTACAGACCTGAGTTCAGCTGGTCTTTGTTGTTCTCCACAGCAAACCGAATCCTTTCCACTTCTTTCGCTCTTTCTAAAATAAATGACAAGAAAACAAAGTAAAAGAAAGTTAGCAACTCAAGTAAGTGGTGTGGTTACACATTAATATTTTTTAATGTAAACCTTCAGGACTGAGTAATGAAGCAAACAGCTTAAGTAAACATCTTTTTGAAAACTGCAGTTCCTCAAGTGTCCACTAGAGTCTGTCTCCTGCAGTGAGTCAGTCCTCATAGAGCTCTATGTTAAAATGTCTAACTTTACAGCTGCAGTTCCTCCAGTGTCCACTAGAGTCTGTCTCCTGCAGTGAGTCAGTCCTCATAGAGCCCCATGTTAAAATGTCTAACTTTACAGCTGCAGTTCCTCCAGTGTCCACTAGAGTCTGTCTCCTGCAGTGAGTCAGTCCTCATAGAGCTCCATGTTAAAATGTCTAACTTTACATCAGAATTAAACATGTTTACAATCTGGTACAAATCCCTTTGGGTCTCTTTTTAAACTCTCTATTATAACAACCCTTCTATATGCTTAAATTATTTTAAGATTTCTTTACTCTAAATAAAATGGGTTTGCTACCATTACAAATGTAATCTAGTTATGTGGAAAACATTGTTGTACACTTACTTATGAGCCAGCTAATGGATTAGCATAGCAGAGGCATAAGATAAGACACGAGCTCTGTCTCATATTGGGGATAAGAAGATTTAAGGGTCAGTGATTGAAGGGGGGTAAGACTCAGGCAAATTTATCTAGGCTCGTGTACAGGCTTCAAAAAGTGATCAAAGTAAATATATGTGAGTGCTTGTGTATGTCTGTGTGTTATTGTGATTGTTACCTTGAGCTTGCTGCAGGGAGGTGTTCAGTGATTTGATGACATCACTGAAGTTTGAAACACTCTTCTCTACGGACGACAGACGATTGGACGTCTTTGTGTCTGATCACAAACACATACATATAAACAGCACTACAATAACTACAGTGTTTAACAAAACATGTTATAAAAGACAGTGTAGATCAGGATCACAGCCCTAAAACTGAAACAAAATAATACAAATTGATATTAGAGACTGTACTAGGTATTGACATTCTAAAGGTCGGCTTGTTAGCTTCTAGTGTTAATTTTAAATCCATTATATACTGCCTGTATAAATGCTAGATAGGCTAAGCTACTACCATGTGTAGGTTGTATATTCAACTAATTTAAAGCATGCTGAAATAAGGGAAGGCTGTGAATTCAGAGAGGGCAAATTATAGCTAATTTAAGCTAGCTGGGGACCATGTTTTAGCTTTTTTTTGTAGTTCTAATATGGCAAAATAAATTAACGTAGTAAATCTGATTCTGAATAAATTTGAAGGATCTGTGTGATTAAAATGTGCATTCAAGCGTAACATCATAAATACTTTTTTTACACTGCAAATGATCAAGTATTAACCTTAGAATGTAATACGCTACTTTTAGTAGACTTACAAACTGCAACTCCTATCATGCCTCAGGGTGACAAATGACAGCTGGCAGTTAAAGAAATACAGATAACTTTAAGGACTTTAATGTCTGAAAATAAGAGTACAGAGAACTGATGGTCTCCACAAGTATCACAATCAGGAGGCAAAGGTCCCCATAAGTATCAAAAACCTGAATGTGTGTGTGTGTACGTGCGCGTGTGTGCGTGTGCTCACTGCTGACTCCCAGGACAATGATGAGAATGAAGATGACTGTAGCCGTCAGAGCAGGAAACAACCAGCGTTTGATGAAGGAAACAACTGAGAGAGAGACAGGAAGACCATCTGAAAAACAGGGAGGCAAACAGTTGTTAAGTTGCAGTAAAATATTAATTCCTGTCAGACAGACAGATGGACAGAAAGATTGACCGGCGGAGAGAGAGAGACAGATACCTTTGATCCAGAGGGCGTTCGTGTCTTGCTCACGATGATAGTCAGGCATTATGCCAAACTTTCGTCCTAAACAGTCACCAAAGTGACAGCAGAAGATATCATGTTAAGATGACTTAAAATAGCTGGATTGTCCTCAAAAGGACAGTATTTATGATAGAAACGATATACCCATCACTATATACTCCTACGGGTCCTTTACAATGGGATGGATATACAACAATGCATCCACTAGAGGGCGCAGCTTCACACTGGTCTTTCTTTAGCTGTTGGCTGTACTGCTCCACACTGCCCCCAAGATTTCCGGTGGTATTGCAACGTTTTGTGTGTATCCATGAGCTTCCAGAAAATATGCAGACATATGGACCAAAGGAACACAGAGCACATATAGCAGGCTCATTCTTTGTTTTCACTTACATATCTGACTGGTTTCTGTAGATCTTAGTGTCCAATGCAAGAAAGTGCATTTCTTTACAGATGGAGAGAGATCTGATAAAAGCTACCTAAAGCCAAGGGCAGAGGCTTTTTTCCATTTTAGCAAAATGATAAAGATGATGATTGTATTAAATATCAAACTGACTTAAAACTAGACAAAGAAGTACTTAATAATCATACTAAATCTCTTAATACTCAAGATTGGCATCTGATTTGAAGGAAATAGCCTGTTAGCTAGATAGCTGCCTTTAAGGTAAGCTAGCACTGTCATAGTCTCTCCGAAATCCACTGCACTAAGTTCAACTTTTGAACGTACTTGAGGCACATTCTATAAAATACTACGGAGAGGAGAAGTTTTGCAGACACATCAGATATCACGGAGACTCCCATAGGAATGGACTTCTGGTTGACTTTTCGCCATACATATGTATGTGGAAACGAGGCGCCCGTCTGTATCTATAAGTGTATCAAACGTAGAGTGGAAATAAGCCTAAAATAATTCACGTGTGCATAAATGGACTCCTGCTTGTGGGATTATCAATCTGTTATTTTAATGAAAAATAGCTCCCCCATCCATCCAAAAATGTCGGCAAAGTTTCATGACCAAAACATGGCCAACATTTTTGAACAATTTCGAGTGTGCAGAATTTTGCCTGCGATTTTTTAATAATTGAAAACAAGACATTACGCAATATCGGGTGTCTTTGACTTCTATTTTTGTTGCCGTGGTATCAAACAAGTATTGATAACATTTGATGTTTACTAGAATCATATCAAAGTTTAAATAAAGAAAAATATATATATAACCCTACTCCAGATCGACTTCATGGGGAGCAGAAAACAAACTCCCATCACACGGACACTCCTGGATTTACAGATGTAGGAAGTTTATTTTGACCCTTAAAATACCGATTTGTCATGGATTTGCCATCCATGTGTGGAAAGAAACTTGTTATGTTAAGCATGTTAGCATAACGGTGAAATTATATTTGTCATTAATCTAAGAGGTATATTTGCCAGAAGGTTCACTAAGTTGCTGAACTGAAACTTTCAATCACATCACAGGACATTTGTCAGAACGTGCAGCAGTGTTTGTCCTTTAAGTGTTCAGAAAATAGATGAGTCAACTCAAACTGCAGAGGAAGATCCTGTGACATGATTGAAAGGTCCAGAGCTGCTACAAAAGAGATCCTGAGATTGTTGTGGCCAAAAATAAACATTAGACAGCTTCTGGATATATAATCTCAACTCTTCCATGCATAATCAAAAGCAAACATTTGTTGAAATAGTTTGGAGAACAAGTGACTGACCTTGTTATTGTCTCAGTAGAATCAACTCAGGAGGTCAGAAATGTTGATCTGAGTCAAACTCCTGTGGAAACCAGAAACACTTTGGTTTCTTCCTCCTCCCATCACTCGGTGACGGTTTAAAATCTGTCAATTCATCATTTCTGACATGATTCCGGATCCAACATTTCATCACATTTCCTAAATGTTCTGCTCTCTCTGGTTTACAGTGAATCACCACAACATCCACTCACACCACTTCCCTTTAATTCTGACACAATAATCAGAATTTCTGGAAGAGAAAACGGTTTTCGGTTGAAACTTCCTCAAATTAATCCGTGTTTATGGGAAGGTCCAAGAACAGGCAGATTTAATCTTTAACAAAAAAAACATCATGGGAAATGTACTTGAGCTTGTATCGTTTTTTTCTCAAAGTGCTTTTACACTTCAGGTCACACCCATACATTCACACACTGATGGTAGAGGCTGCTGTGTAAAGAGTCCATCAGTATTAACTCATCCATTCATATACATTCACACACTGATGGTAGAGGCTGCTGTGTAAAGAGTCCATCAGTATTAACTCATCCATTCATATACATTCACACACTGATGGTAGAGGCTGCTGTGTAAAGAGTCCATCAGTATTAACTCATCCATTCATACACATTCACACACTGATGGTAGAGGCTGCTGAGTAAAGAGTCCATCAGTATTAACTCATCCATTCATACACTGATGGTAGAGGCTGCTGAGTAAAGAGTCCATCAGTATTAACTCATCCATTCACACACTGATGGTAGAGGCCGCTGAGTAAAGAGTCCATCAATATTAACTCATCCATTCATACACTGATGGTAGAGGCTGCTGAGTAAAGAGTCCATCAGTATTAACTCATCCATTCATATACATTCACACACTGATGGTAGAGGCCGCTGTGTAAAGAGTCCGTCAGTATTAACTCATCCATTCATACACATTCACACACTGATGGTAGAGGCTGCTGAGTAAAGAGTCCGTCAGTATTAACTCATCCATTCATATACATTCACACACTGATGGTAGAGGCTGCTGAGTAAAGAGTCCATCAGTATTAACTCATCCATTCACACACTGATGGTAGAGGCCGCTGAGTAAGGAGTCCATCAGTATTAACTCATCCATTCATACACTGATGGTAGAGGCTGCTGAGTAAAGAGTCCGTCAGTATTAACTCATCCATTCATACACATTCACACACTGATGGTAGAGGCTGCTGAGTAAAGAGTCCGTCAGTATTAACTCATCCATTCATATACATTCACACACTGATGGTAGAGGCTGCTGAGTAAAGAGTCCATCAGTATTAACTCATCCATTCACACACTGATGGTAGAGGCCGCTGAGTAAGGAGTCCATCAGTATTAACTCATCCATTCATACACATTCACACACTGATGGTAGAGGCTGCTGAGTAAAGAGTCCATCAGTATTAACTCATCCATTCACACACTGATGGTAGAGGCCGCTGAGTAAGGAGTCCATCAGTATTAACTCATCCATTCATACACATTCACACACTGATGGTAGAGGCCGCTGAGTAAAGAGTCCATCAGTATTAACTCATCCATTCACACACTGATGGTAGAGGCTGCTGTGTAAAGAGTCCATCAGTATTAACTCATCCATTCACACACTGATGGTAGAGGCTGCTGTGTAAAGAGTCCATCAGTATTAACTCATCCATTCATACACATTCACACACTGATGGTAGAGGCTGCTTTCAGGAATACATGTGTGAAAACAGCTTTAGAGTTATCAGGTTACACAATCATCTCTCCATCAGCAACAGATCGATCAGTTCAACAAGTCAACTTTAATATGAAGACGTGTTGATGTGGGGTTCAATAACACTTTAACTGCTTTAACATCATCAATGTGAATAACGTCCGTCTTAAATGTCAAACTCAACAAAGTGGGTTTTAAATCTGACTTTCAGTAATTTGATTTCCTCATGAGCATTCTGGTTGTAACGCCCACACACGTAGCTGTAGAGTTTTTATAAGATTTTCTTTAATCCTTGGTGTGTCGGTCGTGGTCGATGAGCTCCGAGCTCAGCCCTCGGTCAGGTCGTCGTTGAAGTGCAGCAGGATGGCGGGGGTGAAGAGGTCTCGGTCCAGTCTCAGCTGCTCGAGCTCCCGGTCTTCGTCGAGGACGTTGTTCTCGCCGAGCGTCAGGCTCATGTCCAGGACGCCTCCGTTGTGTTTCCAGGTGTAGCTGCGAGCGTGGGAGTTGTAGCGCAGGTAACGCCGGAGGATCTCATCCAGAGTCTCCTCTGAACACACCTGAGAAACAGAGCAGGAATCACTCCGGAGCTGATGTCTGATTCACTCTCAATGGAAGTCACCAAATGATACATCTCTGTTATTTTATAGAGCCATCATATGAAAAAGTGCTGAAGCTTTAAAGCAGACAGGTGTGTAGGAGAGGAATGAATCCTTCAAATATTTCAGGTCATTAATTTAAAACAAGAAATAACTCAACATCTGCTTCCTATGACTTCTACTTCTGTTGCCATGGTGTCAAACAGGTATCGTCATTGTTTAATGTTTACCTGAATCATATCAAAGTTTATTTAAATAATGTTTACATTTCTGAAGGGATGTGAATCTGAGCTCATGGTCAGTGGGCGGAGCTACAGTTTCTGGTTTTATTGAGCTGTGATTGGACAGCTCACCTGCAGTCTCTGCTCCTGTGATGTCAGCGTGTTGACGACTCGTATCCACCTGGCTTTGGTCGATAGCAGTCCCACCTCGTAGCGCCCGTCCTTCCACCAGGGGGGGCCCTTGACACTGGCCCAGTCTGAGCGAGGGCCGGCTGGGGGGGTGTGCACAAAGCGCCCCCTGGGGGTGTAGTACCGCTCACAGTTAGTCACTGGATCTATGTATCTCAGGATCTGAGGGCAGAGGACAGAGGACATGCGGGTAAACCAGGACTTGAGCTGAAAGCTGCTCACTGATTGGTTAGCTGGTTTAGGTTACGTCAGCACTTACGTCTTTGGTTTCAGGGTCGAACCAGGAGCTGATGTCCTTACCGGCACATTGCATGATGGGTAACAGGAGGTTGTCTCCTGCAGAGAAACACATTGAAGGAGCCATTGTGTAACTCTGACACCTAGTGTTTAAAATGGGTACTGCAGTCTACATTCTAAACATAGTTGCCATGTGGTGGACTCTGAAGCTTCAGTGTTTAGCCAGCTCTGCATGGGTCTGTAAACCTTTCTGCGTTCTAACCGCGTTGTACAAAGGTAAGTTTGTGATCGTTTACGTTCATGACGCAGCCGGTTGTCTACGCGTACCTCGTCGCTCCACACTCCTGTTACACATTCAACTTCTTCTACTATAAGTTACAGCGCCTGCAGCTTTAATCAAAGTGTGGTTTTTATTTTTCTCCCTGATTGATATAAAACCATGAATGGAACAGTTTAATCAATGATTAATGGAGAAAACAGGATTCATCCAAAATGAAAACAAACGAGTAACACATCAAAATAAAAATAAAAAGTTGTAAATAAAAAAAGGAGGGAAAGGGATATTTTTGAATTGTCAATGTGAGAGGATTTAAATTGTTGAATGGATGAAGAAAGTCGTGATAAAATCTGCACTAAAGGATGTGTGTGATGCCCACCTTTGTGTTGCTCCATCAGCGGGGTCAGGTCACACACTCTGCCCAGAAACGACACCCACAGGTCGGCCGCGGTGTTGTGAGCGGAGACCTCGGAGGGAGTGAAGTACTTCGGTCTGTCCATCCTCCACAGCCCGCTAACTCATCTCTAAATACACCGGGAAAAACAAACGTCTTCAAACAGTTCCCACTCTGTTACCACCGGGTAATTCTGCTCCGTTACTCACTGCGCTGTTTACACGTTGCCATGGCAACACGCGACGAGGCCAGCTGACGTAGTAAACAGTTTGAATAAAGTTCGAATTAAACGTGAATTACGTTTTCTATATTTATTTGTAGCAGTTGTACCTCGATCTTATATTTTTGTTCCTGTCATTGAATCCTGATGTACTTAACATTTTGTAGATAAAATAAATAAAATAAAAAAATAAACGTGAATTATGTATTAATTAACTTCCCGTGTATAGGCTACTTGTTATGTAATAAATAATAATGTATAATAGATGTTATATAAATGTGCTCATGCGACTTTTATTACTAGTGATGAATATAAGTGACATGTTTATATTTATTTTTATTTCATATGGACAAAATAAAGCTCGTATGTGTACAGGCCATGGAGCAGGTTTGGTTTGCATGCTGCTCTTAAAGCAAGAGCAAAATAAAATACGTGATATGATATATTATGAGAATATTTAAAGGCTCATCTCATCATGACGCCTGTCCACAATAAAGACAGGGGACTCAGTAAAAGCCTGGAACAAGTTTAGGAGTAAGTAATAAAAAACAGTAATATAAGTGTTGGATTTTATGTTTTATTTTTAATTTATCGTTCAGCAAAAGTCCCAAAAAAGACCGAAAAAGACTTTCTAGAGATCTCAGAAGCAGCAGAATAAAGTATTTATTAAAATAAAGAATATTTAAATGTTTATTTGGGCCCCGCCCCTCCCTCTCTCTCTCTCTCTCTGCTGTCTCTATGTCTCTCTCTCCCTCTCTCTCTCTCAGGAATGTATCAGACGTGGCAAAGAATCACTTTCTCCACTTTTCACGAACTTTCTGTAGCCCGAGGCCACGAAATAAGAGGCCAAAAAAATCACAGCCCGGCATTTTCCATTTGTCCTGCTCTGATTGGCTCCCCTAAAGCCACTCTGCTGCGCTGACTGGTCAGTAACCCCGTCAATCAAGTTTGATGTGCTTCTCATTGGCTAACGCTCTAAAAGCAGGCGGGGCTTTCTCTCCTCTCCCGTCTTTCTGTTGACATGATTCTAGAACGTTTGGTGAGAAGTATCGCGAGACTTGAAGCCGTCGGAGCGAGAGAGCGCAGATGGAGTGAGGACGAAGGGAAGCGGAGATCAATAAAGTAGTGACGGTTAACGATCTGAACAGGTAACGGAGGTGTTTTTAAGAGGAGCAGCCATGTCTTCCTGTCGTCTTCTCTGCCTGCTGGCTCTCTACTTCCTCCAGAGCTCCGTGTCGGCTGAACAGCGGAGGCTCACTGCAGGTAAGGCCGCTCTGGAGTGTCCCCTGCCCGGCCGGGCGGACCTCGCTGACCCGCTGGTCCGCCTCTGGGTCTCTTAGCTAACCGTTGCTAATTACACCGTTATTAACATTATAGCTGATTAAAAGCTCCAACAGCAACATTAATCACATACTAAGCAGCTGACCTGAGTGTGAGAAGAAGTATGAACTAGTTTAGGCTTGTTTAAAAAAAGCAGATTCCTTTAACTTGTTAACTTTTAGCCCGCAGGCTAGTTAGCTTCACCTGTGAGTTATCTTTTTAATCTTTCTCTGAATCCTTCAGCAGTCTGCTCTTTAATCCGCCTCTCTGTGTCTCTGCTGAGTAAACATGCATTCATAGGTGAACTTATGGATCTAAAAGTGGGAGATTTGTGTGTTAATAGTTAATGTAAGTGTTCTAAACATAAAGTAAGACATGACAGGTGTGTTCAGTTCCTGTGTGAGGTGTGACCAGGTAAGAACCAGCAGGACCTCCTGAATCCAGATGCTCTCAGGAGTGTAGAAAACATCTGCTGAGTGGAGATAACATGAGCTGTGGGCACATTTCAAAGTGTTGCAGCAGTGAAAGACAAGAAGAAGAAGAAGAGCATGTCAGTGTTCATGATGGAGACAGCCTGGAGGACCCCACTGTCTCTCAGTGTGGAGGACCCCACTGTCTCTCAGTGTGGAGGACCCCACTGTCTCTCAGTGTGGAGGACCCCACTGTCTCTCAGTGTGGAGGACCCCACTGTCTCTCAGTGTGGAGGACCCCACTGTCTCTCAGTGTGGAGGACCCCACTGTCTCTCAGTGTGGAGTCACCCACTGTCTCTCAGTGTGGAGGACCCCACTGTCTCTCAGTGTGGAGGACCCCACTGTCTCTCAGGGTGGAGGACCCCACTGTCTCTCAGTGTGGAGGACCCCACTGTCTCTCAGTGTGGAGGACCCCACTGTCTCTCAGTGTGGAGGACCCCACTGTCTCTCAGTGTGGAGGACCCCACTGTCTCTCAGTGTGGAGTCACCCACTGTCTCTCAGTGTGGAGGACCCCACTGTCTCTCAGTGTGGAGGACCCCACTGTCTCTCAGTGTGGAGGACCCCACTGTCTCTCAGTGTGGAGTCACCCACTGTCTCTCAGTGTGGAGGACCCCACTGTCTCTCAGTGTGGAGGACCCCACTGTCTCTCAGTGTGGAGGACCCCACTGTCTCTCAGTGTGGAGTCACCCACTGTCTCTCAGTGTGGAGTCACCCACTGTCTCTCAGTGTGGAGGACCCCACTGTCTCTCAGTGTGGAGGACCCCACTGTCTCTCAGTGTGGAGGACCCCACTGTCTCTCAGTGTGGAGGACCCCACTGTCTCTCAGTGTGGAGGACCCCACTGTCTCTCAGTGTGGAGGACCCCACTGTCTCTCAGTGTGGAGTCACCCACTGTCTCTCAGTGTGGAGTCACCTGTCATGAACCTGCCGGGCCGACTGAGTTCAGGGGAAGTGAAGGCGTTCGTAGAGACCACGTCACCATAATCCAGAACAGACACAATGCGTCCCTCACGGATCCGTTTCCTGCTGAGTGAGTTAATCTGCTGCTCATGGTTTCAATGTGGAGACACTGAGATAACCAGAACCAGAGAGCCGCTCCATGACGGAGCTGCTCCATGATGGAGCCGCTCCATGATGGAGGCAAGTTGTTGAGTTCCTTGTGGTCTGGATTTGTACCCCTCAGTCTGAGAGAGTCCTGTGAAGGAACTTTCCAGAGCTGTGAGTCACTGCCCACATCCGTCCTCAGGTCTGTAATGATCATGAGTGTATTACAGAGGGGCGCTAACACTGTGTCCTCATGGAGCCTCAACAGGGAGCCAATCAGAGCACAGCTTTCATATCTCACTGCACATAGAATCACACACTTTATACATTTATTCAAATAGTGTGTGTGTGTGTGTGTGTGTGTGTGTGTGTGTGTGTGTGTGTGTGTGTGTGTGTGTGTGTGTGTGTGTGTGTGTGTGTGTGTGTGTGTGTGTGTGTGTGTGTGTGTGTGTGTCTGTGTGTGTGTGTGTGTTTGTACAGTGTGTGTGTGTGTGTGTGTGTGTGTGTGTGTTTGTACAGCTGTGTGTGTGTGTGTTTGTACAGCTGTGTGTGTGTGTGTGTGTGTGTGTGTGTGTGTCTCTGTGTGTGTGTGTGTGTGTGTGTGTGTGTGTGTGTGTGTGTCTCTGTGTGTGTGGTGTGTGTGTGTGTGTGTGTGTGTGTGTGTGTGTGTGTGTGTGTGTGTGTGTCTCTGTGTGTGTGTGTGTGTGTGTGTGTGTGTGTGTGTCTCTGTGTGTGTGTGTGTGTGTGTGTGTGTGTGTGTGTGTGTGTGTGTGTGTGTGTGTGTGTGTGTGTGTGTGTGTGAACACTCCAGCAGCACCACTTGTTCCGGTTTCTAAAATGTAACTTGTGTAAAGAAACCATCGGGACGAGTGTGAGTGCGCCCTAAATCATACAACTATGTTCTTTTTCATTGGCTGTGATTGGCTGTGATTGGCTGTGATTGGCTGTGATTGGCTGTGATTGGCTGTGACTCGGTGCACCAAAAGAGAAAACCCCACATGAGGAAAGCATCAGTCAAGCCTTCAGGAGGAGGAGAGGTGAAACGTCTTGGAGAATCCTCGTCTTGAGTCCAGCTGGATCGCGCTCCGCTTTGAGGAGAGCCAGAAAACGACCAGAAGCCAGCGCAGCGAGCTGAAAGAGACAGAGTTCAATCCAACATTCACTTTGACTGTCCAGGCTCCAGAGGGATTCTAGAGCACTGGTGCACGCCCCATGTATGGAGGCTTTGGTCCTCCAAGTGGGCGGCCCAGGCTCAAATCCCAACTGTTGAGGGGGGAGGTGAAGTCACAGGTCGGACTTGAACCCGGACTGCCCTCTTGGAAGGCTCTGTACATGGGTTGCAAACTAACCGCTAGGCCATCTGCTCCCCTGAATGTAAGAGTTTTAAACCATCAGATGACGTTAGCAGCTGTTCAAACTCCTGAAGGAAACCTGCAGAGACTCAGGACAAGGAGGCTTCTGTCACCAAATACTGAACTCTTTCACCTCCCCCTGACTCCTCCCCCTGACTCCTCCCCCTGACCCCTCCCCCCCTCCTGCTCCTCAACCTCCTAACCTCTCTCTGAGGCTCTGCTGAGGAATGTAGGAGAGAAATTCCTCGAAAGCCTGGAGGGAAGGAGGAGTAGGAAGGATGAAAGTCGGGGGAGTGGGAGCTGCAGGATTTCACTGAGTGTTGGGATTAAACGGAGCGTTTCATACCTGCTGTTTTAAAGTACCTGTAGCCTAGTGGTTAATGAGTACGCCCCATGTACGGAGGCTGAGAGCGACCCGGGTTCAATCCGACCTGTGGCTCCTTTCCAGCATGTCATTCTCCACTCTCTCTCTCTCTCTCTCTCTCTCTCTCCCCGATCTCTGAATGATTCCACCGTTCTGTCTCTCCAATAAAGGCAAAACAAATTCAATCTTCTGTGTTTGTG